TACAGAGAAGGCCTTTGCACAGACTGCAGTGTATGGGAAATGCTAGCCAGCATAGCACTGGCATAAGGGAGGACATACATGCCAACAGAATAGAATGAGGAGTACAGAAATAATCCTTCACATTTATGAATTTGTATTTTTAATTGTCTACCTAGGTAGCCCCGGCTGTCCTCAGTTTTTATCTCTTTTCTGTTGGTTATTTTGATGGTAGGGTCTTACTTATGCCTGAGTCCAGCCTGATCTATGATGCTTTTATGTATGCTTCTTTGTGTCATAGGGTATCTACCACTGTACCCAGCCATTGTGTTTTCCTCCATAACTACAATCAACAGATTATCTCTATGCAGTCCATTAGTTGGGATGGAGTCTTTCAAACTTCAATGTTTTGTCTAACCTTGAAGCATGATCATCCAATCTCTCCTTCCCAAGTAACTAGGATTATAGGCTTGAGATCATTTTGACAAGGTTATAAAGGCAATTAAGTATTAGAAAGAATAATTTGTTCAATAAATGGTGCTGGGCTAAGTAGACTCTACCTACAATAGAATGAGACTGTACCTCTAACCAACATTGCATATAAAAAGTAATTCAAAATGGGTCCAAGACCTAATTGAAAAGGCTAAAATTAGAAAACTTTTAGAAGAAAACATGGACATAAGTTCCCATTATTTTAGAAAATGGAAATGGTTTAGGAAATGATTTTTCAGATAAAATACCAGAAGTACAAATAACAAAGGACAATAATAGACAAACTAGATATAGTCAAAATGTAAAACTTCTAGGCTTCAAAGGATACTATCAAGAAAGGGAAGTCAGTACACTCAATAAAAGATTTTTGTATATTATAGATTTGATTCAGGGCTAGTATCCAGAATATATAGATAACTCCTATAATTCAAAAACAAAAGAATAAACAACTAAATTGTTTAAATGATTGAAAGATCAGAAACAGACAATTCTCCAAAAAAGAGGCCTACACAGTCAATAATTACCTAGAAGTTGATTCTGATCATTAGCTGTCAGAGAAAAATGTACCCAAATCACAGCAAGACTCCATTTTCACTCAGTAGGATGGCTAAAATTAAGATAAAGAATTCCAAGTCTGAATGAAAATGTGGAGAAATGAGCCCCTTCACATACTGCAGGTGGGAATGCAGAATGTAGCAATCACTTTGCAAAAATTTTCTTGGATAGTTAAGACACAAATTTCTTGGAGATGCGACACAAATCAGAAATTCTGCTCCTAGGCCTATACCATAGACATTCGTAAAAGCATTATTTATAACATCCAAAACAGTGAAAATAACCTCAATTTCCATTAACTGATGAGTAGATGGGTAAAATAAAGTATATGTATATAATAGCATACTATTTGGTCATAAAAAGAACATAGATGCTAAACATGAGTGAACTTAAACATGATGCTGAGCTGGGTGCCAATGGCACATGCCTATAATCCTAGCTATTCAGGAGGCTGAGATCTAAGGATTGTAGTTCAAAGCCAGCTGGGCCAGTCTGTGAGACTCTTATCTCCAAAAACATACTCAGAAATAGCTGTAAGTAGCACTGTGGATCAAGTAGTAGAATGCTAGCCTTAAGCAAAAGAGGCTAAGGGAGAGTGCCAAGGCCCAGAGTTCAAGCTGCAGGACTGGCAAAAATCAAAAACAAAACACATAATGCTGTGCCCCTGCATGGGCAGCATGTACCTCTGAGCACTTCAAGTGCAATCATAAAACCCTTTCCTAAGCCCCATTTCTCCTTGTCCTCCTTCCCTTGTATCTTCATCGGTCTGGCACATGCGTGCAATTCTTGAAGATCAGATAGAACACTCTTTTAGAGGGGAATGTCTAGCAAAACAGTGGTTCTGTATCTACTTTCAAACCCACAGCTCTTCTTATGCAGGCTGAATTTCATTACTAATTATGATTCCTCTGAAGTACTGAGATGGGTAGCTTTGTCTCATCCTTAATTTCAGGGAACATCATCTGATATACAATCATTACATATTATCATCAAATGTGTCCATTTCAGCTTCAGAGATCTGAAGAGCTGAGTCTGGGCCTGGGCACTGTTCCTCAGCTCTTCAGCTCAAGGCTAGCACTCTACCGCTTGAGCCACACTGCCACTTCCAGTTTTCTGAGTGGTTTATTGGAGATAAGAGTCTCATGGACTTTCCTGCCCAGGCTGGCTTTGAACCATCATCCTCAGATCTCAGCCTCCTGAGTAGCTAGGATTTACAGGCATGAGCCACCGGGCACCTGGCTGATCATTTTTTATAATGTGGTGAATTCATTAAGACAAAAGTTGAAACTCATGTCTGCCTATGGGAGAATTTCTAGAACCTCAGTTTCTGAAAAGACTTTTCCAAAAACTTTTTATTTGTGCTTTCTTTGAGCCAGCACCAAATGGTTGACATTGTTTCCTTTTAATGGAACCCATCTGTTAATCAGTAGTATATTCCAGGGTCTGTGGAAGAAAACTTTCCAAACTCTATTAATTACTTTTTTTGATGGATGAAGTTTGACATTTGAATCTCAGACAGTTCTTTGCACACTTGCAAACAAAAATGGAAATTCTGATCTTCAAGTGTCTTGTGTGTGTGTTCTTTTATGATGGGTATCAATTTTATTTGTTGCAAATTTAACAAACAAAAAAGGAGGACAAAAAGGCAGACTTTTTGTTTGGCCAGGCTGGTAATACCAGCTCCACAGACTTTAGAGCAGAGGCAAGGAGGAAGCCAGCATGCTCCCTGAGCCAAGGATGTCTGGCTCTCACACAAAGAGCAGGCATGGCCTAGTTAAGGGGGAGAAAATTTCTCTTGTGAGAGGGAAAGATGCTCCTCAGCCTTGCTCCGGGTGTGTGGTCCTTATATCACACTGCTCACTGCTCCCTAAGGGGTTCCTAGATTATAACAAAACTCAGAACAATTGGGAATTGCATATGGATCAAACCAACCTTGAGTTAAGACTCTCATCCATCATCTTTCCTAAAACAAAAATACTGGAAATGGGCAACTCATAAATCAGTAATTCAGAAACCCATAAACACAGGAGAGAAGCATTTTGAAGGATAGAGAAGTTTTCTTCAGCATCAGCTGTCACAGACAGAGATGCCAAGTAAGGAGCTACGGCATCTGTGGCTGTCTCTATGTATATGTTATGCTGCCATTTAATCTGTGGATGGTGATATCTGGTGTCACAAAGAACAGTTAAAGTTGGGCTGGGAGAGAATGTGGCACCTAGAGAAGCAGAAAAGAGACAGTGTGAGGAAAATAAGCATTTTCGGTAAGAAGCCTATCAGAGGCATGAAACTTCAAGGGATCTTGCCCTCACTTTCACCTCACTAAATATTCTGGCTCATTTTTTTTTCCTGATGTGTTCTCCTGTTAACATAAGATAATCTTTTCCCTAGAACCAAGAATACATAGACATAAATCTGTTGTCAAGTTGTGTTTCGTTTTTAATACATCTTCTTTAAAAGAGTATCCAGGCATATATTATTAGCCAGAGTTTCAAACATACTGTGGAATCTCCACCAGTCCATTCTATTTTTAGAAAACAATTTTTGCCTAGGGCTAGTAATGAGTTTACTAAGCCTTTATCAGTTATATAATAAAACTCTTTTTTTTAATACTTAAACCAGGGCTTCTTACTCTCCACAATCCTGATAACTGGGACTAACTAGATATTGATGGGATCTGTCCTGTGTGTTGTTGGATATTTGGCAGCCTACTTAGTCTCTGTGTACTAGATACAAGAAACACCTTCTCCCAGTATTTTTGGAAACCAAAAATAACTCCAATCACCACTAACTGCCTTGGAGTTGTGTATATTCCTCCTTCATAGTCACCCCATCTCAGCCCACCCTTCCCCATCTCCACTGCAAGAACATCCATCCGTTTGAGGCTTTAAGAAAATCATCAAAACATAAAAAGAAAACACTGAAATAGACACCAATTTGAAAACCCAAAAATCTTTGTTTGCCAAGTATCTAAATACTTGAAAAGTATTTTAATAAAATCCTATACTGCCTGATTGTTACCCCTTCATTCTCTCATTACACAGTGGTGAACCACTGATCTCAAATGTGGTAGCCTCTCTGGCCTGGAAGGGATAATCACTCAGGAGAATCCCATTTCCCTTGCTGGTGGCTGCAGAAGGATGAGAATTGTGTTGACTAGTTCAAGGAAATGCTCATAAAAGGGAAAAAAATGTTTGGAAGTAACTCCCTTTCTAAGATTAAAATAGTAGTAGTAGTTGTAGTAGTAGTAGTAGTAGTATTAATAATAATAACAATGGTGATGATGGTAGTAATAAACAAGAAACTCTATAGGAAAAAGACATTTTGCCATATTTTGTTTACCTCATTGCAATTTCTGCCTTGAATGTGGTTGTATGGCTTGGAGCTATGGAAGCTATCTTGCCATTGGACAAAAGAATTAAGGGCTAGTGGTTTAAGGAAAGTGGAAGAAAGAAAACAAGAACTTCATCCCTTCAATCTTTTATCTGTCTTGGATGTCTGCATCCAGTATGCCCATTAGCTAAGATAATTGATCATTTAATGTTTTTATTGCCTAAACTGGCAATATAGACTATGGTCTATAGGTCAAATCTAAGAATTAAGAAGTTTTACATTTTAAAGGTTTTCTTTTGTATGTTCTTCCCCGCTATGGTATATCCCCTGTTGTCACTGTACTTGATTTTGGTAATATATATATATATATATATATATATATATATATATAATATATTATACATATTATATATATATATATATATAATTTGGGGAGGGGAAGGGGAATAACAAAGCGCTGAAACAAGGACACAGGATGACCCATTGCAACAATGATACACAAGACACTATGTTGGAAATGAACTTTACAACTTTGGGGGGGGAGAGATGGGGGGAAGGGAAGGGAAGGGATAGTAGGAGAAAAACAAAGGAGTAAGAATGCACAACAAGAAAAGTACTCATTACCTTACTCATGTAACTGTAATCAGCATCTTTACAATAAAATAAAATAAAAAATAATTGCTGACAGAGTCCATATGTGACCCATTGAGCCTAAAATCTTGACTATGTTTCAGAAAAAACGTTGCCAACCCCCAATCTAAAACATTTATAGTGGATGTCTTGTGATTTTCAGCCTATAGCATTCCTAATACAAGTACTAATATCTTCATTTTATAGTTACACAAATTAATGCTTAGTCAACAAATGTCAGGCTCAATTAGGCAATCCAAATACAAACACAAACTTGTCACTTCAATTCATTGTAAAGGAAAGGCAAACTTTTCTGTCCTTTAGGGCATCAAATAATATTTCTACTAAACTCAGCTTGGTTTTAACCATCTGAATAGACAATTCTCTTGAGGAAACACGATAGATTCAGTGAAGAGCTTCGAAGAAGGTCAGACTGTCTCACTTTCTGGAGCAGCAAGTCATTTCCTGCATTAGGGAAACCAAACCCGGGGATGGGAAGGGGGGTCCAAGGAGGAAAAGACATTGCAGATAAACATTACATTGGCAAACACATTGATGTTATAAATCACATCTGCTGCTGAGACAATTCTTATACTTCCTGTTGACTAATGCAGAAAATACTCTATGGAAAATACCCAAAGCCTCACTTTTTAAACTCTGTATCCCAAGTTAATATTGCTGTTCTCAGTGGGGCCACCATGTTCAGTACCACCTTAGTAAATGGTTGAAATACTTACAAAAACTTAAGTATACAAGTCTGATATAGAGAAAAGTATGCAATGCCCACTATGCAAAGCTGACCAGAGAGTCAAATGACTACCTATCCACAAGGCTATGTCTGAGCACTGAGTGGGAATAGTAGGGCCTGGCTTTCTTTGCTTCAACCAGCATTTCTGTATTGTTCTGCCTATCCTACTGCCTGAAACACAATAGGTAGTCAATAAGAAAGAAGAGCCTCCGTCTACACCCAATACTGGTTGTGTTTCAGTGTCGGGTTGGTTTGTCGGCAGAGTTTGGCCATATCCGGATCCAGGTTCACCCATGACTCCCAAGTAGCACATTTTTCCATTGGCTCAGCTGCTGGGTAAGCCATTTGCTCACATTGTGGGACACTGAACAGACTGGCTGGGGGACTGCTGGGACTTCTTAGAAGGGGCGTCACTATGACAGTGGGAATGCTTACACTCCTTTCTGGTCTGCAGCTAGGGGTTGTGGGCTCTAGGTTGAGCTGGGGTTCAAGTAGGGGTTTTGCCGTCTCTTCTTTCCGGCCCAGCAACCAGACACACAAGGCCACTACAGTAACTATTAGCAGGAGGAATGCAGCAGTCAGGGGTATGACAACCATTGGAGGGTAACTGCTCTCCCTGGGCTGAGTGGATGCCCCAGGGTTGATTTTGGTGGCAGCTGGTAACCAAATGATCCTGGTGGGAGAGACCTTGTCATTCACACTTGGCTCTTTGCCATTGTGCTGCCCCCAGGGTTCTGCTCCCTGCCATCTGGTCTGGGTCAGATTCCCCAGAGGTTCTATCTGTGTCATGGCTTCTGAAGAAACCACAGGCTGTTTCTCAGAGAAAACTGAGGTTACAAGGTTATCTCCAGTGAGCAATAAAGGAACATCTGTCGTCATGCTTTGCAAAAGTGAGGGATCAGGTGGCACAATGGTGAAGGGGAGATAACCTATTGCTGGTTGTACAGAGTCGGCCCTGAGCACGAAAATAAAAGAGTCATTTAGCATATCAGTGCCTGTTAGATTAGCACATGATTCTAGCACCAACAGCCCCTGGTCAATGTCTTTCTGAGTGAACAGAGTGGCATCTTCTGCCATATTGCTGTGAACCACTCTTCGCATAAGTCTTCCATGCACAGGGGGTTCTGTCACTTCAAATGTAGGATCACTGTTAGTCAGATTAGCAAGCTCAGTTGCACTGAGGTCTTGTCTCCTCAGCTGATGGGCTATTCTGTTGACAATTTTCAGGTTTGATGTAACCCACAGTAGAGGCTGCACTCTAATGCCCAGTGTTTGTCCTGTCAGGTTGCTTTCTGATGTAAACAATGAGAAGTGTAGCTGGTCCTCTGAAGCTGTGAGATTTGTCATATGGTAAAAGAGTCTTCCCAAATCTAAATCCTCCTGTCCAAAATTAGTGACCACCTGGTTTTCAATCAGCAGTTGCCCATGTTGGAGTGGCCATGTCATTCTGTAGATTATATGGGAGCTGTTCCCATTGGTCACTGCTGATATGTGAGCACTGGTGATAGGGACAGTTGTCTGACCTTGTGGAAGAAGTAGATCTGTGAGGTTCACAAGGGTGATGGAGATGGGAATGACATCCAAATGGAACAGCTTGTAGAGAGGGCGGTGTTTTCCATCAGTCACACTAAAGTAGAACACTCCAGAACATGGTCTTCCATCTTGTATGAACCACACCTGAGAGTTATCAATATCAGCTTGTGTAAAATGGTGAACAGGCACATCTAGATGGTCAGCCATCGCCAAAAAGCCATTGTTGGGATTATGGATGATCATATACCTGATTTCATTTGAAGGACTGTCTAGATCTTCCACTTTTAGGATTTCAGGTCCCACAACCAACCTACTGCCCTGCAGAACTTCCAACCGAAGCCCTTTTGTCTTTAATTCTGGTGCCTGGTCATTGACAGGAAAAATGGTGATCTTAAACATCTCTTCAAGACAGTTGCCCTCTGGCTTGGTGATGGACTTGCTTTTTTGGTTTGGCCAAACGGCAAAGGTAAAGTTATCAGTCAGTGATTCAGAGTCATCATGAAGGTATAGGATCCCAAATTCATTAATTATATACTGGGAGAAATTGGGTTTTCCTTTGGTGATGTTTCTTTCTCCAACCATAATGGTCCCGTGGTAAGGAAGGGATGTAACTTGGTACCAGATTTCATAGGAAGAGCGCTGAAGTTCAGGTAATTGGAGTAAGAGGTTGGAAGCATCTAACTTAGACTGGTCAATGAGAACTTTGTCTCCCTCCTTGACAGTAGCTCCTATTAAGTAAAACAAACATAAACATAGGGACAGCACAGCATTTTATTAGAACTTTCAGATGCTATTATAAAGCTTTTTCTTTCAAACTTGCCTCTTAATGGGTTATTCTAAACACTTAGATTGTTCAGGTACCAGAATTACCAAAGGCAAAAACTAGTACAGTTTAAATACAAATACGCACGCGCGCACGTGCACACACACACACACACACAACACACACACACACACAGATACACACACAATGAAAACAATGTAAGTGAGCTTTAAGAAAAAAATCCTTAGATTCAGTTATGCTAGTTTTCTAACTTTGTCTATACACTTTCTATTGCAATGGAAACACATTGAGTTTTCAAAACCCCTTTTCCCTCTAAGAACTTACCCTATTTGTCATTTTCATTTTCTATCAACAGTTTTCAAAGGAACAGTGAAATCCCCATTTGGAGGTACAAATAGAATTCCCTAAAGTTAGGTTGGTGTTTTCTCCCAAGACAACTAATAAGCATATGAAAGAAAATAGAAGAGGCTCAGAGAAAGGGGTCAATATAACAAACATAGCAGGTTTATATCAAAAGTTGATATCATGGCATTGACAAAAAAGGTGGGTGGAAAGATTTATTGTCCCTATTTGATATAGATAAGGCACTGATCAGATCTTACTAGCATTACCTGTATTTGCAAACAGATGGCTCTGCCAACCAGGCTCATTAATTTCATATGAAATGGTAATATGGAACTCTTCAGGACCCAGAACTGCTGGTGGAGAGGACATTGTGAATGTGAATGAATCTTCCACAGTCCAACCTGTGTTCTCATGAGCCATGTGCTGATATAATATTAGCCCTTCATTGACCTGCCAGACAACAAGAAAAACTAGTCCCTGGCAACCAGAATGACACAAGATTATCATATATTCTAATTCATTTTCTAATAGGACTTATTGTTCCTGTTTGAATGATTGCACACATCCATGTAATTAAAACTGTGGTAACTTGTATTTCAGAGAATCTAGAGTTCTCCTTTTAAAATTGATTCATCTGAGAAAGAAAAAATGCATTGATTATGAGATGACTGACACATTAAAGTATTTGTGTTGAAGTGCACAATAAACCTCTGCTTACCTGTCAGACATTTCCAATAATTATCAATGACAGCCAATCTTGTTTCAGGTGTTTTCCTATCTACTTTTTACCCAATAAATTGTTTTGAATCAAATTATTTCATCTGTAAATAATTTGTAAGTACTAATAGTGTACTGCAATTTAGTAAGTACCAATAAAATATATAACTCTTAAAACATAACCACAAAACTACTATTATACCTAAATATTGTAATTCCTTAATACCATCAAATATCTAATGTGTTCAAATTTCTCAGTTGATCTAGTATGTGTCTTTTTAAATTAAAACACATTTATTGTTTCTGATTCAAGATCCTTAGACATCTATAAGTCACATTTAATACTTTACACGGCTTTCTTTTCATCTATGGGTTCCATTCTTTAATTTTTTTTCCTTGTAATCTGTTTGCTGAGACAATTGGATTGTTTGTATTATGCTGGGTACATCTCTAGGATGCTTTTAATATATTCTTTGCTCCCTTGTATCTCCTAAATACTGAAGTTAAATCTACAGGCTTAAATAATGATCATTACATTTTTAATATCAATATACTATAAATATTTCCCATTGCACTTCATTGCAAAGTACAGTAATATTTAGTTGCCTCACCACTGAATATGTTAAAATTGATTAATTCAAAGATTGGTTCAAAGATTGGTAGGCTGATCTACCTTGTCACTCTATCACCTACCAGTTTAACAGTCATTGACACCAAAGCCTCGATCCATTATTGAGACAAAACATTAGTACTCTTTTATCCCTTATGTCTTAATTTACTACTATGAAGAGCTTTCTCCCATTAGCAGTTTGTTAGAGAAGTAAGAAAAATGTTGATTCTTTTTCCTTCTGTTCCTGTTTTAGAATGAGTTCATCTTCTTACTCTGACATCCAGGTATGACCATTGGCCTTGTTTTAGAATCATGACAAATTTATTAATTCTAATGTATGATATATTTCACTCCATTGTAATTATTCTTCTTATTCTTCTCATTGACATTCAAATTTCCTCACCTTGCAATGTATTTTTTTCAAAGAAGCCTTTAATACCTGTTGCTTGTCAGTGTTCATCCTAACTCCAGTGTTTTATTGACCAACCCCACTGTGGGTAGTCTTTTCTCAAACGTTAGTGACTGAAAGTGTAAAACTGACCCTAGAAAAAGCATAGCAGACTACACATTTAACTCTTACTTCTTTCAGTCACACTTTTTCATACCTGTCAGTGATAACCATGTCCGAATTTGTGTGATTATGTCAAAATATTCAAGTGTCTAGGTCAAAAGTGCTATTATACCATAAGCTATCATACCATTCACAGAACTGTTAAATTAATATTGGAAATACTGGACTACTTAACAGATGTTTTGATCTTTGGGTATATATTGCTTTGGCTCAATACTGGCTAAGAACCAGAGTTCTATCAAGTCTTTTAACTAATATATTGCTATATAAATGAGGTTTCTGTCCCAGAAGGTCCAAAAACCATTCATGGAGAACTTTGTTCCTTAAACCACTCAAGGATAGGGCAAGGGAATTCTGTCATTTACAATTTTTATATACAGTTTATTGTAAAGATACTCTAAGAGGGATTACAGTTATATGAGTAAAGTAATGAGTACATTTTCTATCAAGCATTGTTACCCTCTCCTTTGTTTTTCCCCTACCATCCTCATTTACAATTTTTAAGTGAAAAGGAAAAAATATGTCATCTCTAAACACTGTGTCAGAAAGAAATAAGATTATGCATGAAAAATTGAATTACTTAAATTAAAAGTAATCCAATTTGTGTTGGAAATCAGAAATTGGATTGTCTTTTCCAAAAACAGTAATTTCTGATGAAAACTAGAGTCTGAATTCTCCAACAGTTCCTGGGAAATAAATTGGTTTTCTTTAGCAATCCTACCATCTCTATTCATAATATCAGATTCATGACAGATTTTATTAGTCATAAATATATTATGTATCCCTCCTCCGAGAACCAGGTGACTGTGCTCTGGAATTGGTGCCAGAGAATGATTCCTAGCGGCTTAAACTGTTCTGTTTAAGTTATAATACTATAAAGAAAAAGAAATCGAGGCTGGGAAGGTGGCTCAGTGGTAAAGTGCTTGCCTTGCATGCTTGAGGCCCTGGGTTCGATTCCTCAGCACCACATAAGCAAAAAGAAAAAAGCCGGAAGTGGTGCTGTGGCTCAAGTGGTAGAGTGCTAGCCTTGAGCTGAAGAGCTGAGGGACATCACATACAGGCCCAGAGTTCAGGCCCCATGACTGGACCCAAAAAAAAAAAAAAAAAAGAAAGAAAAAGAAACTAGAAGAAACTAGATTTCTTTTTTCCTTTTTTCTTTTTTTTGTAGGCAGGCACTGTACCATTTAAGTCACACCTCCAGCCATTTTTGCTTATTCTATTTTCCTTGTGGGTCATAGGGTCTGAACTCTGGGCTTGGGTGCTGTCCGTCTGTTCTTCAGCTTAAGGCTAGCACTCTACCACTTGAGCCACAGCGCCACTTCCAGCTTTTTCTGCTTATGTGGTGCTGAGGAATCGAACCCAGAGCCTCATGCTTAAGTTATTTTTGAGATAGGATCTCACTTTTTTACAGGCTGGACTAGACCACAGTCCTCCTATTTATGTTTCCCACTCCAGATGAAAGGCATACACACCAGGCCCATCTATTGGCTAAAATGAGAATCTCACAAACTTTTTACCAGGCTGACCTCAAACTGCAATCCTCCTGATCTCTACTTCCTGAGTAGCTAAGGTTACAGATGTGAGCCATCATGTTGACATTGTTTCTTAATACTTGACAGTTACATAGTTTATTAAGCCAATCGAATGGTTTTCTATTGGAAACTAGCCACTCTTGTCCACTGGTTCTTTGGTATAAGTGAAAATTATCACCTCTGCAAAATACATAAGAAGTTATTGGGATAATATTTTGGATTGGAATAATGTTTTGAGAGCTGTAGTAAGGAGAGTGATTGCTCCAGGAACAGAACAGTGCTCACGGGTGGGTACAGTTGAAGATCTGAAATCTTCCAGAGGAAAGACCTGGGTAAGTCTTAAATGTACCTTTGTACATCCAGAGCCTAGTAAAACACATGTCTCTTACAGGTTCTATTTTTTAAGGCATTTCAAGAGTGAGAAATGAAATGTGAATAATAACTTGACTTATTTTGCATTGGAAAGTAATGGAAATAATAGAATTAAGTGGATCTTTATTGTCTAGATTTTAAGACTGGATAGAAAGCTACTGAACTGCTGAGTTAGAAGTAGAAGAGAATAAGATGACCTAAGGGATATCACTTACCAATCCTGTCTACAAAGAGGTTGGCAAGTGAATGGGCTTCCTTGTTGACAAGAGAGTTTTAACCTCTCCAGCATTAGACCAAGTTCTAAAGAAGGATGGATAGGGAAGGCCCAGGAAAAAAAAAAAAAAAAGAATGAGACCAGGACTTCATGAGACTGTAGAGTAAACCTGAGGAGACAAGCATCTCAAGAAAGGTAGGCATTTTGTCACCCCAAAACGAAAATAGCCTTCCAATAAAATGGCATATTTCCACAGTATTAAATATGAGTAAATATGTTACTTAGCCAAAAACCTGTGCTCTAAGATTTGGGAGAGAGAGAAAATGGAGATTTTTATTTCCTATAAACTTAGATTACTTCATATATTTTCTGTCACAGAAGGAGTCTTTCTGGAGTTCCATTAGAAAACCAGTGGTATAAAACTCCAACTAAAAACTTTAGCAAGAAATACAAAATGAGAACAATTATCATTTGGCAACTAGTACAGTCATCACAGTTCAGGCAAATTCAGGCAAGAATCCTAAAACAGTGGCTACAGCCAGGTGCCAGTGGCTCACATCTGAAATCCTAGCTACTTGGAAGGCTGAAATCTGAGGAATGTGGTTCAAAGCCAGTCTGCACAAGAAAATCAAGAAACTCTTGCCTCCAATTAACTACCAAAAAGCCAGAAGTGGACTCGCAGCTCAAGGGACTCAAAATTTCAGAAAAGTGTGTGTGTGTATGTATGTGTGTGTGTGTGTGTGTGTGTGTGTGTGTGTGTGTGTGTCTGTCTGTCTGTCTGTCTGTCTGTCGAGAATGATAAAGTAAATCTGGTTATAAAGAACTAGTCATACTTCTGGCAATGTGTCATTTTTATAACACCTCAGACTACAAGGTAATTTTTTTAATTAAGATAATTCTTGTGGTATTCTTCTGTATATCAGCTTTAAAAAAGGACCAACACACCCTTTTCTCTGATAATCCAGCATATGTAGACTGAGCCTCTAATGCCCATGAATGAGTGCCTATGCATAGTCTCAATCTTAAAACTTCTCATAGTGATACTTTTTTTTGAAGGGATAATATCATAATAACTCTGGGATTTCTGAACTTGAAACTTTCTATGTCCCTATTCTGATTTCTATAGAATCTCCAGGAACATTTGTCAGATGCTAAAGATTGAGATTTGTCTTACAGAAAGCCTGGGGCCCCACTGACTTTCCTGTGATGGGTGTAATAATTTATAGACAAAATTGTGCTGAGAAGCTTAGAGAAGAACCAATCAGAGTGGCTGAGTTGGATACAGAAGCCAAGGCTCCAGCCCTGTAATGAAAACCTTTTGTCCTATAAAAATTTGTCCCATAAAACTTCACCGGGGCCTTTTTGGCACCAACCGCCAGAAATACGGCTTTTATTCCTCCAAGAAAGAAAGGAACATTTACTGACATGAAAATG